TTCCACTCCATTCATACGCTGCGCAATTTTGCGGGCTGAGATAGTATCCTTGAAGTGTTCCCGCCAAGCCAGAGTGGAACACAGCAGGCAGAGGGTCTTTCCTGTGCCTGTAGGGCTCTCCAAAATGCCGTTTACCTTCTTTATTGAAAAGAAATAAAATAAAAAGGGGAAAAATGAGCTATTTGGAGATTCAGCTAGACCAGGTCTTTGTGCAGTACTGCATTTCCTCCATAAAAAAACCAATCGTTACCTGGTAAACTATACCACAAGACAGAAACACACACATAGCCCACGTAAGGTTGTTATAAATGCACGACCTGCAAGACCCTCTAATCAACTCAGTGAGGCTCAGTCTAAAACCAAGAGCCAGATATTATCCTTCATTTAGCAGCGGAATTCTCCACTCTTGGAGCAACTAGAATGCATCACATTTCAGCATAAAATACATGTAAATATTAGAAGTTATTGGAAAAAAAAACCCAAAACCAGAAAGTGACCCTTAGATTACAGACTGCCAGTTTCCTTTAGAATTAAGACTATATAGAATCATAGAATGCTTTGGGTTGGAAGGGACCTTGAGAGATCATCGAGCCCAACCCCCCTGCAGTGAGCAGGGATTGAACCTGTGAACTTGGCGTTACTAGCACCATGCTCTAACCAACTGAGCTAACCCGGCTGGTCCCACATCACAGCGTAGGCAGAAAATTTTCCAAGCACTTTTAAACACTTAGTCCTACTGCTTGTTATAATTTTCAAGTGCATAAAAATACTACAAGTTGTAGAAAAACTAGCAGCTGAGCTTGTGCTGCCATGACAACTCGCGCTTGATTATACTGAAAGGATTTCTATATAGAATAGGCTTACAACGCTTTTACTTTAAAACGAGGAGGCCCCAAGCAGGTCCCAAGCCACCGCCCGAGACACGGAGGAACGCCGACGTGGGAAGCCAAAGCTTCCACAGTGAGCTTGTTTGGTGTCTCAGAAGAACAGGGACCACGGAGATCTGTTAACTCCAGAACAAAGATAACTATTGCAAAAAAAACCCCAAACCCCAAAAACATTTTCTTATTTGACGTTTATTCAGTAAGATTATCCTATTATAGATAAAATGATGAATTACACTAATAGTCCAAGGACTAACGATACAAAACCAAACCCCAGATATCCCAGGACAGACTGCATGAACACACAGATACCTGCTCAGCTTTTCCTTTTCCCAAGTTAGGCAGAAACATCCTATCTACACCTTTACTGACCGCCACTTGCGCACTTCTGGGTTTTTAATAACTATATAGTAAAATAAAAATACAAGTAAAAGAAGGTCAGAGAAGATGTGGAAAAGGCGGGATATGGACAACAAAAAGTAAACCGTAACAACTTCTTTTTAGAGAAGCCTTTTTTTCTTTTTTTGCAGTTAGAAATGAAACGCGGTTAGTAAACGAGCCGAACGCAAAGGGAACTCACCTTCTGCAGACACTCGAGCACCTTGGCCATGTAGGCTTCCTGGCACTCGTAGGGCTGGAAGGGGAAATCCACCGTGATGCCGTTCAGCGTTACCTTGGGCATCTTTCCCCTCAAGCACCTGCAACGGAGCGCAGGCCCGTGACTCCAGGGCCGCCGGGGAGGGGGCTGGGCCCCCGGCGCCCCGTCGAGCGACGAACCGGAATGGGGGCAGGCCCACTTGCACCACGAAATGCCGAGAGGCCCGGCTTTTCGCCTCATATATCGCGACGGGGCGTTACCGGCGGA